TCAGTGGTAGAGCGTCGGCCTGCGGACCAATGAGTCGTGGGTCAATTTCGGCCAAGAGCATGTACCTCGGTTGCAGTTAGTGCCTGGCCCAGCCCAGCCCTGGTCAGGGTCATGCGGGAGGCAACCAGTCGATGTGTCCCTCTCACATCGATGTTTTTCTCTCTCTCTCCCTTTCTTCTACTCTATCTGAAGATAAAGAGAAAATATCCTCGGGTGAGGATTAAAAAAAAACTTAAAAAATAAACATTAATAATTGTATAAAAAGGTATTTTAGCTTTTATTGTGCTATTTATATGATGTTTTTCTCCTTTGACCTTTTAATTTGATGACTTAGTTTCCCTAATATTCTTCATCCTTTTGGAATTGACCACGTTGTCATGAACCCTTTTGCTTGATTCTGTTTTCTAGTATTTTACGTAGGATTTTTTTTCCCTTTATAATGAATTTTGAGTGTGTGGTTGTGGTACCATCTTTGTGTTAGAGCACATTGGTTTCCTAAGGAGAAGCAGGAAATTACTTTTTCTCTTGCACACAAGAATAGTTTAACACTGGAATTACGTGATCCTTAAAATTTTGAAGAAGCCTGTCCATAAAACTGATCTGGCATACTGGGAAGTCAGGGGTCAGGAATACATTTGGGCAGGTGGGGTAGGTTATTTTCTTAGTATGCTTTCTCCTATCCAAGTCTAATATTAAATAAGTGTATCAGATAGGTTTTTAGACTTCTTGTTTTTAGACTTTTGCTAACATTGTTAGATCCTCTGGTTATTTCTGGATGTATACAAAAAAGTTAACATAGCAGGATTGAATTTTATCTTTAGAAAGGCCTGCTTGCAAAGTTGTGCCTTGTCTGGCATCTGGAAACTTGGATTTTAGAAGGGTTCCTGATATTAATTGATAAGAGTGGCTCATTTAAACTGTTTGTACAAACCAGCATGGTTTATGTTGAACACTGCTTTCCTTCTTGGAGCCTGGAATTTGGACACATGCCAGGCAAGGGCTACCCACACTAACAGCCTCCCATTAAACACCCTGGTTGAGTCTAGCAAGCTTTCTGGTTGGCAACTTTTAACACATGCTGTCATAGCTTTGTGGGGGAATTAAGCACATCAGTGTAACTCCATTGGGAGAGGATCCTTGTGCCTGGTTTTCCTTAGACTTAGCCCCTCCTGCTTTTTCAAAATCTTTCTTATTTTGTTCTGTATTCTTTTGCTATAATAAATAACAGCCATGAGTACAACCATATGCTGAATTATGAGAGTCCATTTCATATGACAGGCCAGAACAGTGATATTAAGAGACAGTGGCACAGTTAAAACATATAACTTAAAAAAACCCTAATGTAACCATGTGGTCATTACAGGTGTGGAAACAATCTCGTGGAAGTTGGAAAATTTGTCACAGATCACCCATGTCATTAGTGGCAGAATACGTTTCAAAGCTTAAGAAACAAGTCAATAAACAGCTTTAACCCATACACTTAATTCTTTTCCAGTTTTATCTATCAAATTAAAATTGGTTGTTTAAAAAATTAAGTGTATTGGTGTGTGGTTTCTAAAATATGCTTTTTAAAAAAATTCCTCATCTGAGGACACTTTTTCATTGATTTTCAGATGGAGTGGGAGGGAGGGAGGGAGAGAAAGACACATTGATTGGTGGCCCCTTCTGCATGACCCAAGCCAGAGCCAGGGATTGAACCACAACCGAGGTACATGCCCTTGACCAGAATGGAACCTGCAACCCTTTGGTCTGCGGGCTGATGCTCTAACCGCTGAGCCAAACTGGCCAGGGCTAAAACATACTTTTTAAAAAAGAGCAAGCAGTGGACATAAACTGTAACTTTGTAGATAAGCTACAGCATCAGGTGAAAATATTTTCTGCATGCAAGCTGTGGCATAGACACCTTGTTAACACCATTTGCCTTTTTGCAATAAAACTCACAATGGAATCATATGCTAAATGAACCTTCTCTGCTGGTATTTTATTGGTATATTTGTGCACCTGAGTGAGGGTTGCGAACCTACAACAGGCTAAATCAGTGGCTCTTTTCCAGGCTGCTCATTAGAATTGCTTTAGAATAGTGATTGCATATTCCAGGCCAATTAAGTCAGAATCTCTGATGGGTGGGGTTCAAGCATCTTTTTTCTTTTTTTTAAAGTTCCTCATGTGAATCCGAAATGTAGCAAGCTCATTGAGAATCACTGATCTAATTAAAATTCTTTCTATGTGCCAATAAAAATTGTGTTTATTCCATAGTAAGTGGCTATTTTCTATACCCGGCAATATTAGCTTTATGTTTCTTGTTGGAAAAGCATAATTGAAATGTAAATTTAGCAAAATGAAATTGTATGACTAAGAAGTACAGATCTATCCCTGGCTGGTTTGGCTCAGCAGTCAGCCTGCAGACCAAAGAGTTGCGCATTTGATTGCGGTCAAGGGCACGGATCTTGGTTGCCGTTGGGTCCCCGGCTCTGATCAGAGTCCTGCAGGAGGCAGCCAATTGATGTGTCTCTCTCACATCGATGTTTCTCTCTCTCTCTCTTCCTCCCACTCTATCTGAAGATAAATGGAAAAGTATCCTCAGGTGAGGATTTAAAAAAAAAGTACAGATCTAGAGAACCTACTAAGGTGATATTTACCTATGTAGCATTAATATTTATTATGTATCAGTTGAAGAATTATAAATTTACTTTTGAGCTAGTTAGCCAAAAACCAATCATTGTGTGTTGAGTCATTTAGTCAATCATTTGAATCTTATTCGTGACGTAAGAGAATGTTATAACAGAGCATGTATTCACTGGGTACAGGAACACCTTATTTTATTACACTTCTCTTTATTGTGCTTCACAGATGTTGTGTGTTTTTTTTGTTGTTTGTTTTTTTACAAATTGAAGGCAAGAACCTCCACTAGCAAAAAGATTACAATTGGTTTTACTGCAATTCTCACTTGATTGTGGTGGTCTGGAACTGAGGTTTGCCTATATATGCATTGCATCTTTTCAGCCAGGAAAGTGTCAGTTTTGTTTACAGTGATGCACCATCATTAAGGGAAATATTAGGTAGTGATGTGAGATTTTGTGTTGAAGAGGAATGGAATTTTGAAATCAGGTACAAGTCACTTTCAGAATTTCATGGCTGATACAGGAAATAACCATGTTATTTTGGACATTGATTGGTTAATCTAGCCAGAAACCAAAACAGAAAACGAAAACAGTTTGAGCCTTTGTCTAGTTTACAATCAATTCTTGATCATAGGTTAGAGCAGAAATTGGCAAACTATGGCCTGAAGATTAAATCCAGTCTTCTTCTGTAAGTAGTTCATTGGAACATAGCCATGCTCATTTATTTGCTATTTGTCTGTGGCTGTTTTTACTTGACTAGTGTTGTGACAGAGACTGTATAGCCTGTAAAGCCCCAAAATATTTACTATCTGACCCTTTGCAGAAAGTTTGCCAACTCCTGTGTTAGACTGTTGTATCACACATTAGATGATTGATTCACACATGATTTGCTAACACTCCTTAAGTTGATCCTCTTAAGCTGAATTTGGTCTTGCCTACACAGATGACTGGAGATGATTCTGTTTTTAGGGCTTTCTGATGGAAGTTTTAGTTGAGGGAAAGGGATTTGCCTTGGCAATGAGAGGGGTATGCTGCTAGCCCTCTGATGTTTCTACCATAGGGGACCAGGAGCTTGTTTATTTACTTGGGGTGGGTGTCTGTTTGCGTAACTCATCCTCCATGTTCCCCTACATCACAGTGCTTGCTGATGCTTCCTCTGTTGGGGATGGTCATGGAGTATAGCAGTTAACTGGAAAACCTGGATCAGGAGGATCTTCCACTGCAGTCTCTGGGGATAAAGACCGTTTTTCATACACTTTACTAATAATGGATCTGGATGTGAAAGTTTAAAGATTAGGAGTGGCTTAACTCTCAATCCTTCCTGGTCCAAATGGAGAGTTCTAGAAGGTGTGGAGGTCTAGTGGAGAGAAAGCATTATCTGGCTCAATTCCCCTAGTCTCTAGTATAACAGCTCTCCTGTGAACTGTCAGCCACGTCTCCACCTTGGGCACCTGAATGCTAGTGAAGGCTCTCATCCACTTGCTAGGTTGCTTGCACCTGAAAAAGCAGTACCTGCAAATTCATTAGAGATTTAAGAATGTAAATATTTTTAGCTTTCAAAGCACATAGCTAGCTTTTCTAATATATAAAGATGTTAATTAAGTTTTGGCTTTTTGATTTTCAGTTAACATGTGTTGAAAGGCATTGCATACAAAAGCAGGGAAGTGCCTGTAAATGAGATTGAATGTAATGATGCTCTTGTAGACACAGGCAGTGTGATCATTAGAGCCAGATGTTTGGACTGCAAGTCAGTCTTGAGAAAAATATTTGGAGTTATTCTTTTTTTGAGGGGGATTAGGATGCTTGCTATAAATTTTCATTAATAAATGTCATTATTTTTGTGAATTCAGAAGATATAATTTTTAAAATAAAATATTTAAGATGGTTTTAGACCATAACCTCTGAAAGTATTTGAAATGTGATGATTTAGTTTATTCTCTTTGTGCTGTAGGTGTAGATCTGTGCTTGAATGCCTTTCTACTGGGGATAGTTAGTTATACCCTACATTATAAAATCTATCTGTGCTAAAAGAGGAGTTCCTCTGGTGGTTGACTTCTTTTCCCTGAGGCACTGAGAAGTGAGGGGCCTGTATTTGGCGCAGCATTCTGGACTTGGATAGCTCTCAGTGCTGGTGGTTGAGGGCCCTAGCATTTATTTTTGTTTTCCTAGTGTGATAGGCAGTGAAGGTAGTGTGTCAATGCAGGCTGAATTGCTTCCCACAATAAATGGGTTAATAAAGATATCAGTAATGATGAAATAAATCTCTCTTGTGTGAGTGTTTTAAAGTAGTTTAAATGTTTACTTAGCTGTGTTCATGGTATGTGATTTTCTGTGTGTACTTTCCATCCCCCACTAACTTGCATCCCTTTTTTATTCTAGATCAGTGACTATTATCTGTTCTACAAGATGAGTAACAGCCACCCTCTTCGCCCCTTTACTGCAGTGGGGGAAATTGATCATGTGCACATCTTGTCTGAACATATTGGTGCCTTGCTGATTGGGGAAGAATATGGTGATGTCACATTTGTTGTGGAAAAGAAACGTTTTCCTGCCCACCGGGTCATTTTAGCAGCGAGGTGCCAATATTTTCGGTAAGTCTCTAATAATTTCTGAAGATTCAAGTTGTAGAAACATTGGTATTTTTTGCTCTATAAAAAATATGTAACAGCCCTGGCCGGTGTGCGTCAGTGGTTAGAAGGTCGGGCCCTAAACCGAAGGGGCACAGGTTCAACCCCCTGCCCTGGTCAGGGCATATACAGGAGGCAACCAATTGATGTGTCTGTCTCACATCAAAGCTTCTCTCTCTCTCTCTCTTTCTCCTCCTTCCCTCCCTTTCACTCTCTCTAAAAATTAACGAAAAAATATTCTTGGGTGAGGATTAACAACAACAAAAAATAATATATATGTAATATAGCACAACAATAAATACTAGCAATTCTTCCATTCAACACCTATAAGAATTTCATCTTTGTAGACTTTTTTGCTTATTTTTTGGAAATCACCTTTTTCTTCAGGAGCCATTTAAGAATTCTAGTGTTAGAAGGTTCCCCAGACTAGACTGTACCCAATCAACTGGTTTTAAATATCTCAGAAATATTTATCAGGCTGTCTTTGTTGCCTTCTCCTTCTCCTTACTGCTGATTACTAATGGAAGATAAATTGATATATTGGCAGATAGGGTTCTTATGTAGATAAACGACCCTCTGGACTTGCTAATGAACATGAATACCTCTTAGTTTCAGACTACTGAGGTCCAGGACCTGTAAGTAACTCTCTTTAAGACAAGCAGTTTGATAACCCCCCCAAATTAAAGGAAACAAGTATTTATTGAGACTTAGTTATACTATAAGTAAAACTAAACAAAATATTTATGTATTTAATTAATATAAAAATTGTACTTATGTATAGCTATTGTTTGTTACTCAGGCCCTTAATTCTCAGGGCTCTAAATGTTAAAGTGAACTCTCATTATTCTGCATCATACCTAATGTTAGTTAAGAGGGAATCATCATTGAATGTTAATGTATCTTTGATAAGTCCATTGGTCTATATCCATGAAATCATTGATTTGCCTAGGAAACTGATGTCTAAAATTAAGATGCTGATGGCTTAGAGAAAAATTCAGTTACCTTCTAGTGAAAACTGCAATCTGAGTTTTATAATCAGAAATAATGGAGACAGTGAAACAGCAACACCTAGAGTCACACAGTAAAGTGTGTCTCTTAGAAATATTTACTATTAATGAGAACTTTTATAGTACTTTATTACAAATCTTAGAACATTCCATCTTGTACATATAAAGTGCCACTGTGATGAAACGAGGAGCCTAGGAAAGAGAAGAGCCTATTAAGAGTTCTCACTTACACTCTCCTATGCCTCTTATTAATGGCCTTGGTCTAGTTATTATTTGTTAGCCTCTGCCCTCTGCATACTTTTTCTTTTGTGTTTCTTTCCCATTCCTTACTTTTGGTCCACTCACTACTGTTAAAGTAGTTTTTGAAAAGTTCTTTCTTTATTAAGTCAGAAGTTTTCAGCTTTATGTTTAGTATTTGTTAATAGTTTATACCTTACCCTCTTTCAAAATTAATTTGCAACATTATATGTAGGTATCTTTTAGGTGATCAGTATATTCTTAAAAGAAACTCAAATACTTAGAAAAACTCGAAGATCATATTGAATAAATGGAATATACTTCTCTCACTTATTAGCCTCGTTCTTGATGTCTGTTTGTGGATATTGAACCTTAATGTCTGATGGCTCATGAGGCTAAACTCAGAGTCATTACCAATGTTACCTTAAATTCTCATTGCTGACATCATTCATGTACAAAGGTAGGTTGACTGTCAGTAGTCAGGAGAGTCTTTACTAAGTGTTGTCATTGAGCCTGTCAGTTCCCATATAAGGACAAGCTGACTATATACAAGGGAACTTCCCACGAGTTGGGGTTTATATTTAGGGTTCCAAGGAACTTCATCAAAAGAACTTTTAAAGCATTGAGAATCCATGTAAATATCGTGGGTCATACTGGAGTAAGTCTTGGTGAGATCTTCCCAAGAAAGTGTTTTTAAATCTAGTAATTTTAAAGTTGTGGTTGGATGTTCTCTGGATTAATGAAACCTTCAAAGGTGTTTTTAGGCAGAGTATAACCCAGTGAGGAGGTATGCTCAGAATATTCATGAATCTTTTGCTGGATGGTTTCAGCTATTTTCCTGAGCCAAGCAAGAATGCTGGATCCTGGGGGAGGGGGAGAAGAGTTCCTGACAGGTGTGGAGGGAACCCTCGAAATGCTAGTTCTGCTCTGAGACTGATAGGAGCAGGGGAATCTCTTTTTGCCCCCCTGTTCTCTTGCTCTCACTTTTACATGTTTTCTTTCTTACTCTCAACTCTTCTTTTTCTGCATTCCTCCATTGTCATCCTCTGGCTGCCCTTTCTTTTCTGATAGAGTGAAAATTTAATTGGTTCATATTATTTCTCTAGAGTAGTAGAGGTAGAAATTCAAATTCATTAAAGGACTGAATTATCTAGTTTTCATTTTTTGATGAGCAGATAAGCAATAATGTGGGGATTTTTTTTTAATCTAACAAATACTGAAAGACAAAAAAAAATCAAATCTTTCGTAATTCCATCACCGATTTCAATTTCATTTTTAATTTATAAGGTAACAATGAAAGTCCTTTCCTCCCAGCCTTCTAATCTCATTCCCCAGAGACAGCCACTGTTAACGGTTTAATATGAATTTCCCCTGATTTTTCTCAATATAAATAGATATATCTGTATATACCTATGTGCATACACATACAAGTATGTGCTATACACTTTTTTACTCAACACATGGATCTGATTTGCAATGTAACTACTGTCTCCTGGACATCTTCCCAAGACAGCATATAGTGACCTCCCTTGATTTTTTTAATGGCTGCACAGAATGTTTATATCACAGTTTTTTCAGTCATGTTCGTATTGATGGACATTTAAGATTTTTTCCATTGTTTCAGTATATATTCTTATATGTTATCTTTCAAACCATGCTGTATTATGTCTCTAGAATTGTGTCCTAAAATGAGATTATTGAGTTGAAGGGTATGCATCTTTTAGATTTGAAAAGATATTATTTAAATTACTTTCCAGAAAGGGGTACCCCTTTTTACTCAAAGTAGTGCCTGAGATAACCTGTTTTTCCATTGCTTTTGCAGCACTGAATGGTAACAGGCCTTTTCATTTCTGCCAGTCTAACAGGGAAGAGTGGCACCTGGTTGTGTTTATTTGTTTCTATCCAATTATATCTTTTCTATAGAGTTACTTTTTAAACTATTTTATTGGCCTTTAACATGTTTACATTGATTTCACTGTTCCTCTCAAAAGAGCACTTTCATCTTTCTATTTACTGAATGTCTATTACATATCTTGAGCTCTCAGGATATTTCATTAGTCCAGTTGTTTATAGAATTAATTCAAAATAGTTTTTAAATTATTTCTCTTAGTTTCTTTAGAGAACTTAAAGTGACTATGCATTTCTATGCATACTATGCATTTCTCTACCTGCATCTTTATGTCATTAAACAAATTTATGTTTATATAATGTTGATAGCCATTATTTTATAATTTTGTAGCAAATCTTATTTGAGGTTTTTCTCGTCTGTTTCTTCTCTGATGTGCAGAGCATTACTCTATGGTGGAATGCGAGAATCTCAGCCGGAAGCAGAAATCCCTCTCCAAGACACCACCGCGGAAGCATTCACAATGCTACTCAAGTACATCTACACCGGGCGGGCGACACTGACGGATGAGAAGGAGGAGGTGCTGCTGGACTTTTTGAGCCTGGCCCATAAATATGGATTTCCAGAGCTGGAGGATTCTACCTCTGAGTATCTCTGCACCATACTCAACATTCAGAATGTCTGTATGACCTTCGATGTTGCCAGTCTCTACTCACTCCCCAAATTAACCTGCATGTGCTGCATGTTCATGGACAGGAATGCTCAGGAGGTACTCTCGAGCGAAGGCTTCCTCTCCCTTTCCAAGGTGTGTCCTAGTCTGACAGTAACTTGCAGGCATCCATTGTGCTATTTATGTCTGTACAGTGGAAATGGAGCAGTGGACTAAGAAAAAAATAAATCGAAGGTGTGGAGAGGTTGAGACTCTAGATCATGTAAGAGAAAGGCAGATTGCTTCTGTTTTCTTTTACATTTCTTTTAGTAAATTCCATGTGCAAAAAAGAGTGTGATGCTGGGTGGTTGTTTTCAATGTGGTCTTGCATACTGATTTTTGAATTTGCATTTCTTTGATAAAGAGAATAATTCCTTATGATGAGAGGGAAAATCCCTAAGGGAGATCAGATGTGTCATTAGGTATCTTTAAGTCACTGTTTTTTTGTTTTTTTGTTGGCTCAAAATTCACTATTCTATGGTGTTTTACACTGCATAATAGCTAGAGTAAAATTGTTACGCTCAAATCTTTGTCTGAACCCTGGGTGGTTGTCTCTTCTTTCCCTTTCTGTGTTCCTCCCAGGACCTGAATATTTTGAATGAGAACACTTATTTGAAAAGCTACATGTCTTGCCCTGGCTGGTTTGACTCAGCAGTTAGAGCGTCGGCCCACAGACCAACGAGTCATGGGTTCGATTCTGGTCAAGGGCACATACTTCAGTTGTGGATTTGTCCCTGGCCCTGGTCGGGTTGTGTGGGAGGCAACCAGTCGATATATCACATCGATGTTTTCCTCTGTCTCTCGCTCTCTCCCTCCCTCCCACTCTATCTCATAATAAGTAGAAAAATATCCTCGAGGAATAAAAAAAAGAAAAAAAAAAGCTACATGTCTTGTTTTGAGTTTAAACTATGATTTTTATTATCCAATTTTATTTTTAGAGGCAAGGTCTTTGAGGCTTGCACCAATGTTGTTGGAGGTCAGTCTGAAAATCTGAGAACCAAATATACGATAGTGCATAGTCTGTGAAAGAAAAGATTTTGAACTTTAAATGTTAGATTAATCTTACTGATTTGTAAGTGTCAACACCTGAAGAGCGTGTATGGGGAAGACAGCTCCTCTCATTGCTGTTTTTCTTCTTGTTTTATTAAAGATGGGTGTAGATGGGTTGGAAAGACTGGTTGTTTGAGGTAGTGGTACAAAATGCCTTCCCCTGCTATTCACACAGCCTTAATGTGCAAGAGAGGACATGGCGCAAAGAATATGGAGAGAGGATGGTCCAAGAGAGTTCACTGTTTACATGTAACTGATACTTGCAGTTCTGTTGGATAATGCACATGGTTGAGCTCCATAATAACTGGAATTTCTTCTTGTTATCCTTTTCAGACAGCACTTTTAAACATCGTATTAAGAGATTCATTTGCAGCTCCTGAAAAAGATATTTTCCTAGCCTTGTTAAACTGGTGTAAGCACAATTCAAAGGAGAATCATGCTGAAATCATGCAGGCTGTGCGTTTGCCTCTGATGAGTCTCACTGAACTTCTCAATGTTGTAAGGCCTTCAGGCCTGCTGTCTCCTGATGCCATTCTGGATGCTATTAAAGTTCGATCAGAGAGCCGGGATATGGACCTCAATTACAGAGGCATGCTCAGTAAGTACCTGTTCATCCTAATCTCACCAAGGAGTGTTCTTTGCGTCATATGACAGTGTCAGCTACAAAACTAGAGTGCAGGTGTACATGGTACATGTGGGCCTATGAACATATAGCTCTGCTTCCTATGGAATGCCTTTCCCTGTCATTCTACTAATTCCTCCTGAGATTGCATTGCCATGGTAGCTTCCCAGATGGGTGTTTCTTACCATTCTTGGACAAATTTCTCCAGCTGTTCCTTAGAATATCAGAAATAGATATTTTCTTCAAACGCATTTTGTCATGTGAAGACCTTTCCTCTCTTTCTCCATCAGATCAATACTAAGTACGTGCTATGTACTTATTATTTTAGGCACCATGAACATGGAGATTCTAAATAACAATGATAATAGCTAACACTTATGTAGCATTTCCAACACTTATGATTTTTCTTAATAATAAAAGCAGTAGTAATTAACACTTATAAAGTGTTTGTGTTTCAATAACAGCCTTACATGATCATTTAATTCTCACTGCAGTTCTTTGAGGTGGGTACCGTTATTGGTTCCGTTTTACAAGTGAGGAAACTGAAGTGTAGAGAGGTTAAATAACTTGCCCAAGGTCACATAGAAAGATTCGTGGAGCTGAGAGTCAGACCTATGTAGTTAGGCTCCAGAGGCTATGCAGTTAACCACTAAACTATGCCATGTAAGTGCAAAATATAGTCTCTGCTTTTGATCCTTTTAATTTCATTGTGGAAATAAGACATACCCCCATGAAAAGTTAAATATAGTAATATTCAAGATGGGACATGTTGTGAACTTCAGAAGAGGGTGTGGCTTGGGCTTGGAGTGATTGAAGGAAATTTCATGGAGAGTATAAAGCTTGAGGTGAGCCTTGGCATTTGATTTGAATGGCATCAGGGTAGGGTGCATTTTGGATAGGAGGACTGGTGAAGTTAATAGACAGAGGTTAGAGCATTTGAAGGACTGTGAACAGAAGAGCTTGGCTGGTATAAAAGGCTTATGTTGATTAATAACAAAGAAAGTCTGTAAAGGTTAGCTCAGGCAAAATCATAGAAGTCTTTGAAACTAGATTGGGATTTCGCTTATGTGCAGTGAGAAGCTGATTTCAGAGGGGAGAGGCTTAAGTACAGTGGTAGTTTTGAAAGATGGACCCGGTGCTGTAGTTGATGATTTGGAATAGGGAAAAACTGGGTTCATGGAGACCTGTGCATAACTGATACAACTTTAAACTAGAGGGGCAGGGAAAATGGAAAATAATGGATGTTTAAGGCCAAGGGAGGGGAAAGCAGAGGTGGGTGGAGGTGGGCAAAGGAAGGGGAGGAAAGGGGAACACCTGCAATAATGTCAACCTTAAGATTTCTTAATAAAAATATATAATATTTTAAAAATTAGATCTTGGTGATTCAAAGGATTTAAATTTGAAGATTACATTTAGGAGGAAGTTATTTTATCAAATCTAAGAAACCAGAAATTCTGAAGTACCAATGTTTTTATGCACCACTAAGAAAGGAAACAATATTGACAATTAAACCATGACACATTATCATGTTTCAGAAATGTTAACATTTGGGAAAAAAGTTAATATTTCATCAGTTCTTTGAATTGGTGAAATGTAGTAATTCTTTGAAGAAGATCCTGAGCTTATTTTTAGAGTTTGAGGGTTTCTGGACATAAAAGTTCTAAGTTTTTTCTCATGTTAGTCATTTCCCTGAACAATCTTTTCCTTGACTGTGTGGCTTTAGACACTCTCTTGAAATACTGATTGATCTTAAATAGGTGTCCCAGCCAACTTCTCTCCTGACTCATCAGATTTAGATTTCTTTTCATTGGGCATCGGAGAGAAAGCATAGATTTTGCTGCCAGACAAATTTGACTTCAAATCCTGAATTAGTCACTTACTAGTTGTATGACCTGGTATTAAATTACACAAGGGATTTTACCTTTGGTGTTATATTTCCTAGTATTGTTTTGAGAATTAATTGAAATGATGCACACAAGAATGTGTTTAAGCTCTATATAGGAAACCGTTGTTATCATATTATCATTATTTGTGTTCTTCCTTATCTCTTTATGTCTGTGTAGGAATTATCACATTGTTTTAAACAATTTGTTTACTTACATTTGGTCCTTGAAGGCAGAGATGATCTTTGTAAGCCCTCTTGATCTTTGTATCCTCAACTTTTAACATACTCAATAGCATGTAGTGGACATGTGGTGAATGAATGCAAGGAAAAATGTCTAATAGCAGTGGAAGCAGGTTACTGGTGTTTGTTTAGGAAGCCGTAAAAGCTGACAACAAAAGAATTGAAACCAGAGTCTGTGATTTAGAGAGACCTATAGCCAGGGGGCTGGAGGTAGAGAAGGAAGTATTAGGTATGAAAAGAACTGGGAGAGGGTTAAAGAAGCCACAGAGGAGAGAGCTTCTACATGGAGAGGGTGGTCAGTGGTATTTGGTGATGTTGGGAGATAAAAAAGAATGAGAATTGAGAGAAAACTTTTGGATATAAATTGTGGTGAGTAGTCTGGACTGAAGCTTGGCTAAACAGGGAATTAGACCATGGGCTTGAAAAGACGGTAAATACAATGTGTTGACCGTCTGCTGTGTTAATTGGAGTGCAAGGTGGTAGAGAAATAGTAGAGTAGCTGCAGGGAACAGCTCAGGAGAGGTTCAGGAAGGGATTTGGAGGTGCTGGAGAATGGTACTAGATAAAGTATGGGAGGATGGAAGGGGGAGAGGTAACAAGTAATATAATTTTATTTTGTTGTTTGTGAAAGAGAGAGAGAAACATTGATTTGTTGTTCCACTTATTTATGCATTCATTGGTTGCTTCTTTTATGTGCCCTGACTGGAGATCAAACCCGCAACCTTGGTGTATCAGGATGATGCTGTAACCAGCTAAGCTCCCTAACCAATTTTAGACGTTCTAAATTCTCATCATTGGATCCTCTTATATAAGCTCCTCTTTTCCCCTCTTGCCCTACTTTTGATTTGAGGTGCTGATAGAGCCCCATATCTGGCTTCGTTAAAGGGCTAGGCCTGGGACATTGCTGCAGGAGTGTGGGGGTGCTTTAGACATTCCACATAGTTACTGGTAGCTTGGAACTGATCAGCTGCTCAGTATAGTTGTCAGACCTGGTTGTAATAAACCCATGTAATTACCGTGAAAGGGAGCAATCAACCGTTGAGGGAAACTCAGTTCTGGAATGACATACTTACTGTAATTATTCCTCTTAAATGTTAAGCTCTTTATTTTGGAATAAGTCAGTGGGAGCTCAAGGAAGAGATTATACAGATGTTTCGGAATCTTTTATCTAACTTCTAAACTTGAGAAATGATTAAAATAGTGGGCTGTTTTTCTGACTTTTTAATTATAAGAATAGTAAAATCAATAATATAACTATTAAGGAAGCATATCACTTTCCCATCAGATCCTAAAAAGTAAGTTAATTATTCTGTAAGTAATTTAAATCATTATTTCTTTCATCAGATTTCTTTTTTCCTTTTTTTTTTTGTTACGTGCCCCTAGTGGGAACTGAACCCGGGAATTTCTGGTCCACAGGCCAACGCTCCAACCACTAAGCCAAACTGGCCAGGACTGATTTCTTTACTGTTAGGGAAAAAAGGGTCTAACATTTCAGAACTGTTCTTGAGGTTATTGTTCTGGAAAGCTAGTTCTCCTTATTTTAAAATTATTGAGCAATGTGTTTGTTTGTTTTGTTCTTTCCTGGATGTAGGTTCTTGTCTTTGGGAACTTTTCATGAAATGTAGAGAGGTTCTTATCTTGAGACTAGGGATTCATATCTTTTTCTAATTCTTTTTCTTTTAGTTCCTTACTATTGGTTACTGAAAGGTTTACTTCTTAGAGCTGCATATCCTGAGGCTTTTAACCAAATTACAGTGATTTTTACCCTCTTAAAAAGAAAAAGAGGACCCAAAGGATATTTTAACTCACCAGTGATGGTTAGTCTTTCTGGGAAGGTGGTTTAGACTAGTTTTGTACATATATAATGATGAGCGTTTGTCTATACACATGGGGAAAGGGAATTAACTTTTAATGATAATATTTTTTTCCTTAGGGTATTTGAGCTACTTGTACTCAGACCGTTTTCTTAATGTTAAGTTTTGTCTTAGCTGTAGAGGCGTTTATTTCTACCTTGAAAGTCAGTGCTTTTTCTTTTCATACTAAGTTATACTTTGTTTTGCTTATCTCAGGTTTTAGACTTTGGGAAAGAGACCAGTAATTTCTTGTTTCTTCATATTTACAGCAGGGTTTGTTTATATTACAACTTTCATCCTCAGGATTTCCTTATTGAGTAAAAATTAGTCTGTTCATAGGACTGCTTAATTAAGTTATTGATTAATATATAAATGTGTGTGTGTTTAAATCTGTGCTGTAGGTACATGTTACCATAGTTTCATACTATAGTTACACACACAGTTTCCATAGTTTCCAGTAACTCAGACCAATGGAGTTTGCCACTGTAATACTACAATTGTTGCTTTTTGGCCTAGAATCCTTCTAGACTGAGCTTCTTGAGGACTGTGATTATATGTTTTTTCAGCACCTAGCACAGTGCCTGAATCTAGACTTCAAAATGAATGTGACTGAATGAATTTATTCCTTTCTTCTAAACTAGAATTTAAAATTTGTCTCACCTATTACATAAAGACAATAATAACAATAATGAGCCGTTAGTACTTTTAAAACTCTTTGACTTCTATTATTGTTGTATCTTCCCAGTTGTAGTTTATAGTATCTTTATCTGTAAACTAGGAGGTTCACAGGTAATCTCAACTGAATATTCCTCTGGCCATGCAGTTCATGTCTGATATGAACTCTTGTCTCCACTAGATGGTGAAGGGCCGGAGGGCTGAGTCCAGCATAGGGACCAGCACACAAAATGCAGTTTAGGAATTATTTTTTTCCTTAATAAATAGGACAAAGGTCCCTTTCAGCGCTTATATGTTTCCATTCTTTGATCTTTATAAGTAATTTGCCTAAAGTTACTGAGTTAAATTGATGCCCAAGCTGGACCCAGAGTGCTGATCTGACCCATGAGGCCAGTGCTCTTTGTTAGAGTCTCCACCCTGGGTTATTTTTTGTTTCTATTTTGTGATGTTTGGGAATCAGTACTGTGCAGTGTGGAAAGGAGGCCTGCAGAGAGTGGAGATAACTGGAAAGTTAAGGTTAGACAGGAGTTGTCAAGAAAATCATATGTGATGCCATACTCATTGGAAGGGAGGGTCCATCATTCTTCAGGGAAGTCAGATGGGGGGTAGAAGATGATTTAGGGGACAGAACTGGGCAAAGAGATTGCAGTCGGCAGAGAGCTAAGTGTGAATCCAAATGATCCATCAGGGGTGAGCAACTATCTCAGCCTACATGTTGTAGAGAATTCTGTAAAAGATGGTTAAGAATGTAAGGCAATGAAAGAAAAACACAAGGTCATTAACCCAGCACCACTTAGATTTTGGCGTTGTGTAGCTAGGGGCAGGTCCTGCACCATTTCTCCTTAGTTTTTCTTTTTAAATTTGTATTTATTGATTTTTAGAGAGAGTAAGGAAAAGAGAGAGAGAGGGAGTGTTCTGTTGTTTCACTTAATTCATAGCTTCATATGTGCCTGACTGGGGATTGAACCCGCAACCTTGGTGTATTGGGATGACGCTCTGACCAACTGAGCAACTCAGCCAGGGCTCTTTAGTTTTTCTCTCTAATAATTGGCTTGTTTCTGCCTAGCTGTGAAACTTCAAAGCTCAACTTTCTTCCTTAATGTTTGTAAAATGCATATAAAATGACAAATGTAAAGAAAACTATTATTGTTATCTACCATCTCTTATAATCCCTACTACCCTTTTTTGTTGTTGTTAATCCTCACCGAAGGATATTTTTTCTATTGAACCTTTTTTTTCCTTTGAGAGAGAGTGGAAGGGAGGGAGCTGGGGATGGGGGAAGAGAAAGAGAGAGAGAGAGAGAGACAGAGAGAGATAGATCAATGTGTGAGAGACACATCACCAACCGGGGCAGGATTTGAACCTGCAGCCCAGGTACATGCCCTTGACCGGGAATCAAACCTTCGACCCTCAAGTGCAGGAACCGACGCTTTATCCACTAAGCCGCACCAGCCAGGCCACCCTGTATTTTTTTAGAGCTTTGTTTTCTACTGATAGACAAACATAAGCAGTAAGAATATATATGATTTGTATTATTTTCTTATGACTTGAATTTTCGCATATTTACGTTTTGTGTTAAATTTATCATTTAGCTATAGAATTTGCAAAAAATACTTGTATTTTTACCCTGTGAGGTACTTAGATTATAGTTACCATGAGAGAATTTCCACTGTGTAAATGTCTCCTGTTGAAGGGAAAGATGCTTTCAGGGAATCTATATCAAGAACAGTTAGAAAAGTTCTCAAGCACTCTTGAAATAAACTTAAAAAAATTACTTGTGTCAGAAGTTTCATTTCCATTTTAGACTTTTAGTTACAGTCACTTGAACGCCTGTGCCTAGTGTGTTATTCCTAGCATGATACGTTTTAGAGGTGAAGAAGTTTATGTTTAGAGAAAATCAAAGGGTAGCCGCAGTTTCTAAATCTGAAAGCTGAATTTCCCCCTTTTGTGGCCCTGGCCTGGACTGGAGGAGATGGTTTCAGTGGTCGGCAGCACAGACTTTGGGCCCACCTCTTACACCCAGCAATAAGGGACTATTCAGGTTTCCTTTTACCATGTAGTTACACATCACTGATATCTGAAAAGCACAGATTTGAAGCTTTTGTTTGTTTGCTTGCTTTATAAAGTGCTTCATTTCTAGATTGGAGGCATCAGGAGGGCAGGCCCGTCTGTCTAGTTCACTGAGGTAGACCCAGACCCTCATGTGGTACCTGGTGCAGAATGAGTCTGCAGTAAATGTTCTTTAATTAGATTCCTTACACTTATACAGTACTTTAGCATATATTATTTGTAGTATGATCTTCACAGTAATTCTGTGGGTAGGTTGGGCAAAGTGTTATTTTTAGATGAGAAAATAGATTCATAGAGACCAAGAAGCCTCTCTTGGGTAGTGTATGGTAGAACCTGAGTCTCAGACTGAGCTTTTCTTGCTTTAAGTCCAACTTAAAGAAAGATACATATGTATGTATATCTCTATATAGATATATCTCACACTATCTGTTTCATTCTTCTGGGTCTTAGGTCACCTTAGAGGGAGGGTGTTAGAACAAGAGGGTATGTTCTTCCCATCAGAAAGCATTCATGAGGGAGGTGCCAAAGTTGGGCCCCTGGAGACAAACTGCCTGGGTTCTAATTGCGGGTCTGATACCCGCTGGCTGTGTGACCTTGGTCAAGAAAGTCCATCTAAACTCTCTCCTGCCCCACTTCCCCATCTGTGAAATGGATGTATTAGTAGTATTACATTTCAAAGGATTTTGATGAAGACTAAGTCAAAGAAATTAATAAGGCTTGTTAAATAAATGAAAAATAAATATGAAGAATCTGTATGATTACTGTGAGCTAATAGAATTTAGGAAGTTATAAATCTGTGGCACTTAAGCTTCTGATGGTAAAAAGTTTTGTGCTGTTTTACATCTGAGTTGCCATAGTCTTTGCAAGTTAACTAAACCCACCCCAACAGCATTTCAGTTGCACTTATTGTTGTCTTCCAGAGCCATTCTTTTACCTGTCTTCATTTTTTTAAACCCCACATTTTCCAAGTAATCTACAATAATGAATTACCCCCTTTTCCTAAGAGCCTAATTATGGCTCATACCTGACTTTGTTCAAATCACGTAGCCCAGATGTGTATGTACTGTGAGAATTCACTATTTGTTTACAGTGTGTAAACTTGCTTAGTTCTTTTATTATTGTGTTGCTTTTTAAAATATGGTTCATAAGAATAATGGCAGTCTTTTCTTAGAGTTTACTGTGTTTTTTGCAGACAGCATCTCATTTAATCCTTGAAACAAAACAAATAACAGAAACTCCTGGGGGATAGATATTGCCCTACTGAGAAATTTAAGTTCAGAGAAGGTAAATTCCCCAAAGTGATACACTTATTTAAAGGTGGAGTCACTGTTTAAACTCTGACTTTGAAGCTCAGGCTCTTCACATCTATTTTATGCTGCCTCTGATCTCTCCATGGAGAGTGTTGGTTTTACAGTGCTAGTACGAGGAGGACAGGTTCCAGATCCGTGAAGCCAAATGTGCACAGAGGACTCCAGAGGCCCGGGAACAACTGACACTTAATAAATCTACAGCTGGAGAAGGGAGAATGTTTAATTATAACCACAATACTGATTTTGATGACAAACTGTCTGAATTTTCATTTAAAAAAATAAAGTGAAGTAAAAATACATCTTCTTTTAAACTCATTTTTGTTTTTTAGCTAGATTGATTGATTGAACACATCCATATATGACTAATAACTCTGCTGTATTGGAGCCTATTTTTTTCTTTTGTTGTATCAGATGTCTGACCTGTCTGTTTTGCTTTTTTATACATTGTGCTTAGTTCAGATGGCAGGTATAGGTCATCTGACATGATACTTTTTTTTTTTATCCTCACCCAAAGGCACTTTTCCATTTTTGTTCAGATAGAGTGGGAGGAAGAGAGAGAGAGAGAGAGAAACATCGACGCGAAAGGGACACATCGAGTGGCTGCCTCCCACACAACCCCAACCAGGGCCAGGGACAAACCGCAACTGAGGCACGTGCCCCTAGCGGGAAGTGAACCTGGGTCTCTCTGGACCACTGAGCCAAACCAGCCAGGGCTGACATGCTACTTTTGTCTAGTAGATATTTAGTTAAATCTACTAATAGAAAGAACTCAGTAGAGCTGATGTGTTTGTGCTAGTGTATGTTTTTTCCCTAGTATTATTAACTTTTTCTTAATAACATTAGTCCCAAGCACTTAGTGGCTATGATAGTGTCATTAAATTTAAACTGTGGGTGGTATCTTAATCCTTATAGACATTTCATATCTTCTATTTAATTTTTAAATTAAAACTCACATATTAGAATCAACTTGAATGTTAGAATTTTATCTTTTTCCCCACGTTATAGAATAATTTAATAACTGTTAACCTTGCATTTTGTATTTTTAACTGCAGTACCAGAAGAAAACATTGCAACTATGAAGTATGGAGCCCAGGTTGTAAAAGGGGAGTTGAAATCTGCCTTACTAGATGGTGATACTCAAAATTATGATTTGGACCATGGATTTTCCAGGCATCCAATTGATGACGACTGCCGTTCTGGCATTGAAATTAAGCTAGGTCAGCCGTCCATTATCAATCACATACGGATACTGCTGTGGGACCGAGATAGCCGGTAAGTCTGTGATTTGAAGAGAGACTACGGTTGTATTTGACTGACATTGTATTTGTGGTCATCTATTTTGATTTTACAGGTTTGGTGATTTATTTCTTTGTGGTCACTTGGCTATCTTGGAGTTTCATTCTGGGGGAAGAGTTAAAGGGTATATTCCTTTAAAAAATGACATTTATTTTGATTTTTCTGCTTATAAAAATAATGAATATGTGTTTATTATGGAAAACGCAGAACATATAGAAGATCACAAAGAAATAAAAATTGCTAGTAATCTCACCACCCATTATTAATCTTTGTATTAATAATAAGTGTGTTTTGTTATACTACGTATGTCTCTCTTTCACACATACAAAACAGAAACCAGTTAAACCACATGTAGTTTTATAAAATAAAGATTAGATGTGTAAAAAGCTAACTTCACTTTTTTTGAATTTGATTAATTAATTTATTTTTGTTACAGATGTTTCTCCTTTTTCCCCCACTGATACCCCCCTACCCCTCCCTCCCTGCCCTCTCCCCAGCTTTGTTGTCCATGTCCGTTGTTCATGCATACATGCATATAAGTTCTGTGGTTTATCTCTCTCCCCCACTCCCTCTTCTGGGGATAGTCAGTCTGTACCCCACTTCCACGTCTCTGAGTCTACCCCATTCCTCAGACTGTTATGTTCATTATATTCCATAAATAAGTGAGATCTTATGATACTTGTCTTTCTCTGTTTGACTTGTTTCGCTTAGGATGACATTTTCCAGATCCCTCCATGTCGTCTCAAAGGATAAGAGATCTTTCTTTCTTACAGCTGCATAGTACTCTATTGTGTATATGAACCACACCTTTTTTATCCATTCGTCTACTGATGAACACTTGGGCTGTTTCCAGATCTTAGCTATTGTAAATAGTGCTGCTACAAACATGGGGTACATATATTCTTTCTGATTGGTATTTCAAGCTTCTTAGGGTATAATCCTGGAAGTGGGATCACTGGGTTAAATGGCAGTTCAATTTTTAATTTTTTGAGGTAACACCATATTGTTTTCCATAGTGGCCGTACCAGTATGCATTCCCACCAGCAGTGTACTAGAGTCCCCTTTTCTCCACACTCTCGCCAACACTTGTTTGATGATTTGTTGATGACGGCCATTCTGACAGGTGTGAGGTGATTCCTCATTGTTGTTTTAATTTGCATCTCTCTGATGATTAGTGATGTTGAGCATTTCTTCATATGTCTCTTAGCCATTTGTATGTCCTGTTTGGAGAGATGTCTATTTAGTTCCTCTGCCCATTTTTTAATTGGGTTCTTTGTCTTCCTTTTGTTGAGTTGTATGAGCACTCTTTATATATTGGAAATTAACCCCTTATCTGATATATCATTGGCAATTATGCTCTCCCATACAGTGAGTTGCCTTTCTATTTTGATGACTGTATCTTTTGCTGTGCAGAAGCTTTTGAGTGTGATGTAGTTCCATGTGCTCATTTTCTCCTTTGTTTCTGTTGTCTTAGGTGATGTATCAGGGAAAATTCTGCTGCGTATGATGTCTGAAATTTTGTTGCCTACAGTTTCTTGTAGGATATTTATGGATTCATGGGTCACATTTAAGTCTTTTATCCATTTTGAGTTTATTCTTGTGTAGGGTGTAAGTTGATGATCTAGTTTCATTTTTTTTGCATGTAGCTGTCCAATTTTCCCAACATTATTTATTAAAGAAGCTGTCTTTACTCCACTGTATGCTCTTACCACCTTTGTCAAATATTAATTGAGCATATTTCCTGGGGTCCATTTCTGGGTTCTCTGTTCTGTTCCACTGGTCTATATGACTGTTCTTGTGCCAGTACCAGGCTGTTTTTATTACAGTGGCTTTGTAGTATAATCTGATATCTGGTATTGTGATCCCTCCTACTTTGTTCTTCTTTTTTAAGATTGCTGTGGCTATTCGAGGCCTTTTTTGGTTCCATATGAACTTTTGAAGTATTTGTTCTAGTTCTGTGAAGTATGTCATTGCTATTTTGATGGGGATTGCATTGAATCTATAGATTGCTTTGGGTAGTATGGACATTTTAATGATCTAACGTCACTTTTAATATATTGTGAATATTCTATCCTTTAAAACTATTCCCCTAAAAATTGGGCCAGATACATGTGAAAAAATGAAACTAGATCACTACACATAAGAATAAAATAAAAATGGGTTAAAGACTTGTTAGACTTAAAACCATAAAAAATCATAGAACAAAACATAGGCAGTAAAATCCCAGACATGCTTGTAGGAATATTATTTTTCTGATATATTTCCTCAGGCAAGGGAAACTAAAGAAAAAAATAAACAAATGGGACTACATCAAACTAAACAGTTTTTACACAGCAAAGTAAACCATCAGCAAAATGAAAAGACAAACCACTAGATGGGAGTACGTATTCTCCAATGATACATCCAATTAGGGGCTAATATTCAAAATTTATAAAACTGAGCACTAAAAAAAGAAACAATCCAATTAAAAATAGGCAAAAGAACTGACTAGACACTTCTCCAAAGAGGACATACAGATGGCCAAAAGACATATAAAAAGATACTCAACGTCACTTATCATCAGAGAAATGCAAATTAAAACCACAATGAGATATCACCTCACACCTGTCAGAATGGCTATCATCAATAAATCAACAAACAAGTGTTGGCGAGGATGTGGAGAAAAGGGAACCCCTTGTGCAGTGTTGATGGGAATGCAGGTTGGTGCAACCACTGTGGAAAGCAGTATGGAGTTACCTCAAAAACTTAAAAATAGAACAGCCTATGACCCGGTGATTCCACTCTGGGAACATATCCAAAGAAACCTGAAATAATGATTCGAAAAGATATATGCTCCCCTGTGCTCATTGCAGCATTATTTACAATAGCCAAGATTTGGAATCAGCCCAAGTTTCCATCAGTAGATGAATGGATAAAAAAGTTGTGGTACATTTATACAATGGAATACTACTATGCTGTAAAAAGAGGGAAAAAATCACCCATGCGACAGCATTGATAAACTGGGAGAACATTATACTAAGTGAAATAAGCCCGTCAGAGAAAGGCAAGTACCATAAGATTTTACTCATATGTGGAATTTAATGAACAAACTGAATTACCAAGCAAGATAGAGACAGACTGATAGATAGAGAGCAGGCAGACAGCTCTGGTGGCGGGGGAGGGTGTTAGGGGTGGAGGGATTGAGCAAAAAAGAAAAAAAGGGAGAGAACTCATGGACAACAGTGTGGTGACTGCGGGGCAGGAGGGAGGTGGAAGAGGGCATAGAGGGGATGAGTGGTGATGGGAAAAATTAAATTAAATTAAATTAAAAAATAAAAATAAAAATATTCCCCCAAAATGTTATTTTATATGGTTGCCTGGTATTCCACCATGTGGGTTCCCATTATTTATTTACTTGATTCCTTAACAGCTTTTAAAATGAATTTTATCTTATAGATGAAGAAAAAAAATGTTTTTTAGTGTGTGAATAAATATCCTTGAAACAAGAAATTTGTGAAAAAAATTTGGTGGGCTCTAGCCTAGGAATCCACCCAGTTTTGCAGTAGCTTCAAGGTCTGCCTTCTAACCATTCTGATACTTTCACCCACTGTGATTTCTAGGGTTCAGCCATGATAGCCAGTGTACCAGAGAAGTATGGGTGACCAAGAACTGAACTGTCTCATTGCTGCTTATCATTAACCTAAACGCTACATACCAGAAAACTGATGTACAGAGAGTCCCCCCCACTTATGCCTCTTTGAGTCTGGGTATGAAGGGCTTAGTAGTATTGGTAATGATACCCTGCAAATCTTTTAGGCTAGTTCATTTCTCTTGTTAGCACCACTGGCCACAACCCTGGCCTTTTAGGTCATTTAAGCCAAGTATGAGGAAAGCTTTATGAAGTGGGAATCAGCATTTCCTGTGCATGGATGTTCGAGGTCCCCTGGTTATCTCTTATCTTTTTTTTTTCTTTCTGTTAAGAATATATTTTCTAGTACATGTGGTATGCACTGTTATAAAAGCTTTACATATAGTCACTCACTTAATAATTAAATTAGTATAAAAATAATAAGAGGTTAGTTAGTATGTTTGAAACTGAAAGCAGTTCTGATCGTTTCCATGGTGTTAAATATTTACAGGCCACTTGGTTTTAGTATGTGCATCACATTCACAGGGGACTTACGTTTACCACATAGCAGTTCTTTCCTCATAGAAGTTGTTATCATTCTAAGCAAAGGTGAAAAATTCAGAATCTTAAGCTAAAAAGATTCTGACATGTGTTATAAAATTATATCCTGCATTTCTGATAACCCAGGAAGGTTCAATAAAAGGTTATAACCAGTTTGAGACTGAGCAATAAAATGAATGGGAGTGAGAGGACAGCAGAAAATGAGGGGATGACACAAAATAAGCTGACCTTTTCTGGTCACAACTGTTGGTTGCAGGCTGACATTTATGGTCACCTAAATCTTCTGAGATTGTTCCTGTTGATATTACAGTACAAGTAATAACTGCATCTCAAATTTAAATCTGGCTCTTGACAGGGGAATATAGATTTGTTCAGTATGGGACTAGCATGTAATGGTCCAGTGTAGCTGACTAGGGGAGGGTGGTAGGCTGTTTTCATTACTACCAGGTTATTAGCTGGCAAATTTTAAGTTGTACCCAAAAGAAACACGTATTCTCTCTTCAGCCATGTCATTTATTTTTCTGTAGGCTGCATGTTTGTGTGGGATGGTAGACTGAGGGGGGAGTGGGAGATAAGCTGGCCCCTGTGGGGAACCATTTGAGTTGGCTTTCCTCCTGAGAATGTAGGGTTGAGCTCTCAGGCCAGAGAAGGTAGAATGAGAAGGCACACCCACTTCTCTTTTCTGTCCTGTCTTTGTCATGGCCTTACTAATCTGCTACTATGGTGTGAGCAAGGCATCCTGGCCCTGTTTGAAAGGGAACAAATGTCTTGCGTGCCTGATATGTGCCAAGCACTGTGCTAGAGACTGGAAATAGGAAAATGCCTATGGCATGGTCTTTGTTCTTAAGCAGCTTGTTATCTAATAAAGCAGACAGATGTGCTGAGAAAGAATTTTAGTACATTGTGCTGAATGCTATAATAGGGGGATCTATACAGATGTCGTCATTATCCAAGTTTGATTGTTATGCAGAACATGTAATTCGTGAATAGTGGATTTTTTGTGCCCTTTAATGTCTTATTAAAATATAATGATATTATTATTTTAATATGGTTCTTTTTCTGCCTTTTCCCTTTTGATTCATAGGTCTTATTCATACTTCATTGAAGTGTCGATGGATGAACTTGATTGGATCAGAGTGATTGATCATTCACAGTATCTGTGTCGTTCTTGGCAAAAGTTATATTTTCCAGCCCGAGTCTGCAGGTTGGTTCTCATGCCTATTAAGTGATTTTGGTGTTTATTTATTTAAGGAGTTTTGAACTTTGAAAAACTGATTACATTGTTTTGTTTCACAGAAGAGTTTTTCAGAGTATCACCTACCAAACATATCCCAACTAAAACAGGGAAACTATGGAAAATTAAGCATCATAATTATTTAGAGTGTGCTGTGGAACTGTTTATCCAAAGTGTTTTGTACTGTTTTTGTGTAGTAGACATGTAAATGAATAAGAAGGGACAGGGAACACTGAGAAGTGGAAATGATTTCTGAACTGCAAGTTGTACCTTGAAAGCAGTTATTGTTAGAGGGTACGTTCTTCCCACGGAAGCCACGAGAGTGTTTCTGGAGGCTTCCCTGGCAGTCCTTGGGGCCAGGAGATTTTTGGGTGCCAGTGTGCATATTCTGAGTATCTGTGTTCTTTTTCTAGGTCAGTGGATATCATGGAATTTGACAGAGCAGGTGTTTCTAGTGGGGTTGGGCTTGGGGTAAGGGAGGATGAAGCTGGTGGGACTCTCAGCTCACACCTTCCCTTCCTCAGAGCACCTTTGCAGTGTTGGTGTGATGTGTTACAGTCTCATGTTAGTTTGTTCTAAGAAGTATTAATAAACTGCTGTCCTACTATTTCATATTCTTTCTCAAATTCTGCAAAACCTATACGAGTAATGAATTTGAGAGTTGAGAAAGGTGACTAAAGGTCTCCCAAATTGTTTTTTTTTCTGTTATGATTTTCCCCTTGGAAATTGCCCTCAGATATTCTTTACCTTAGAGACAAAGGATCAAAGCAGGTTCATTTGATTAGGTGTGGCAAGAAAAGAAGGGAAGGAATATGGTAGGTGTAACCAGGAAGAATGTGGAGCTGACCCCTTACCCAAGTCCCTCCTCACCCTCACCTGTGACCTCTACTGACCTCCCATTGTGGCTGATTTGGAGCAGGTGGGTGCCTCACAGCACTTTCTCTCTTGGTCAGAAGACACCCTTATACTTTTTAAACTGATGATCTATCAACATAAGGCTGAGTTCTTACTTCCACCACAGAAACGCCACAAAACCTTTCAGCCTCTGGTAAAGAATGTTGCCTACATTTTTTTATTACAGGTATGACCAGACACAATATTGTTACCTAGGGATCTGCTTGTGTGAAAATGAAGAAAATCAATTTAATTTCCCCAAAGGGGGACTAAAGTGTCTCAGGTCTGGCGGTTGCTCTTTTATCAGAGGAGTTTTGAATGGATTAAAATGAGAGGGACAAGAAATTGAGTGAAGATTCTGTATCTCAGAGCTGCGTAGGGATGCTTTGAGAGTGACAGAGGGGCCCTGGTGTGGAGGATGTGATTGAGTCTGCATTGACTCAGTTTATTACTGTTGTATTGGATTAAAAAATAAGCGGTGTAATAGCCAAAGCATCTGATGTAGACCAAAGGACTGTATGCCTGTATTTAATTTGAAACAATAGGAACATGACTCCCAGAACAAATCATCGTGAATATAAAACTAGCCAAGACAGAGTCTGTGTGCTTTACCCATCATTGATCGGTTGCCCTCAGTTATGGTCTCTGACTTTTAGAAAATATGCTTACCCTTATTTATTGATGGGCATTATTTATACTCCCTTTTCCTTATTTTGTCTTTCCCTGGTGGCCTTGCCTTTGTTGGTGTAGCTTTTATATGTTAGAGAGCCCTGGCTGTATTCACGATGCTAGCTTTTGTCTCAGTGTAGCTGGCTTCCAACTCTGGTCAAGAAAAACTGAGAAAAGGTGGTGTTAGAGAAAGTATTAACAGAAAAGGAAGGAGTCTTGATATTGATATTAGTTTAAAAAATTTAAATATATTTATAATCACTTTAATACATTATGTTAATTACTACAGTCCTTCATAAACTCTGCCTTTTGTAATAGTTTGGAATTTTGGTAGTATTTTAAAATGACCTAAAAATAAGTCCCTATTGATTATTCAAGGATGTCTTATACTTGGTGCTTCTTATCGTCACAATCATTTATTGACTACCTAAACAATGTGCTAAAGACACTTCTCCTAAGAACTTCAGTAGGCACATACAAATCCTTTATTTCTTTAGCACGCAAGTGTTCAGTTTGCATTATGTCAGTTAATTTGCACATTTGTATGTCACCTTTGTTCTTCATTGTTCTTTATGTGTTTGTCTTGCCTCTGATACTAAAATTACAAGCTCTTTAAATCAAGGAGTATATATTCTAATCTTTTAGTATTCTTACACAGTGCTTAGCTTATGTATGCAGTAGGTACTCTATAAATGTTACCACAGGTTTTATGGGGTCGAGGCACTGACTGGGTAGTGAAGAGAGATTGCTTCAATGTTAATATGTATATATGTTCATTGGTACTTTTTATCTATCTATTTATTAAAATGCATATCACTGCTTGAAAACTCTGGAGTGGTAAATGGTTTTGTACTGTCTGCAAAGGTTACTTTTTTTCTCTTTAGGAAACTAAATTTTGAGGTTAATCTCAAAAGCTATAAGTGTCATGTAGTGATGAAAGATTACATCAAATATATTCACAAAAGAAGATATACTCTGTGAATTGGGAAGTGTGGGATTACCCAGCTCTCTCTCTCAGTCCAGGCTGGACTGCATGTAAATCAGCATTTTGTAGTAGAAGAACCATGGCCTGTGGAGTTAGTTAGAGCCCTTCTCAAATCCTGGTTTCATCTAATACTGGTATTGTGATCTTGGTAAAGTTGTGCCTCTCCAAGCTCTCATTTCTACACAAGTAAAAAACAGGAATAACCACACCCTTCCTGGGGTCTGCTCTGGAGGGTTAGATGGCATAGCACATATAGTACTGAGCACAGTGCCTGGCCCAAAATAGGCTCAGAAAGTAGTTGTTTTTATTATTAAATTTTTTAAACTATTTTTTTTCTCATTTCTGAGACTCTCAACTGGTGTTTGACCTTCAGAGAAAGAGAGCCATCCCTGCCATCCTCTTTGGCCACAGTGGCTGTCACTGGGAGGAAATCATTCTTTACCTCGGGAGCCTGGTCGTTTCAGCACTTTTCTATTGCCAGTCCACGTATAGTAATCCAAAATATGTGTTAAATGGGTCTCTTTATTTTATTTTTTTAAATTATATCAATCTATTATTTTTAATCCTCAATCAAGGGTATATTTGTATTGGTTTCAGAGAGAGAGAGAGAGAGAATTAATGTGAGAGAGAAACATTGATCGGTTGCCTCCTGTATGCACTGCAACTGAGGATTGAACCCACAACCTGGGTATGTGCCCTAACCAAGAATCAAACCCATGCCATTTGGTGTATAGGACAGCGCTCTAACCAACTGAGCCACACTGGCCAGGGCAAGCTCTTTATCTTAATAACCTGCCCATTTGTGTGTTTCCAACAGTTTTTAGATATTTTGGTTTTGGTAAAGCATTTTTTATTCTGATAAAATATATATAACATACAATTTTCTATTCATATATTTTGTGGAATATAATTCAGTCAGCATTTCATCTTACCAAGGTAGTAGACATTATCTAATGACAATAAGGATAATGTCAGACTTCAAAGCTAGAGTGATCATGCCAACCATAACAGTGAATGGAGGGAAATGTGCTCTATCTTTCTGGGTCTTTTTTTAAAAATTCTCACCTGAGGATATTTTTCTGTTTATCATCAGATAGAGTGGGAGGGAGGGAGGGAGGGGGAGAGAGAGAGAGAGAGAGAGAGAGAGAGAGAGAGAGAAACATTCATGTGACAGAGACACATCGATTGGTTACCTCCTGCATGACCTGACCAGGGCCGGTGATGAAGTGCAACTTAGGTACGTGATCTTGACCAGAATCCAACCCGAGACTCAGTGGTCTGCAGGATGATGTTCTAATTGCTGAGCCAAACCGGCTAGGGCCTTCTGGGTCTTTTTTAGGTATGCATTGTGTGCTAAGTGGGCACTGCTCTATGTAGCCAAAAACATATACGTACTAATAACTCCCCACCTCAACCCCCAACTGAGGATGAAGAAAAGTGACTTGTCAGTTTTGGCACAATGTTTCATATATACTCAGAACCATGTTATTTCTTATCAGCTTTCTCTTTTCAGGAAAAGGCAATTTCTGCTTTACCCATAAATTCAGTAACCTTCAAATTGTCTTCCTGGCTATCTAGTAAGCTCTCATCAAGTCCTTCCACAGCTTAGATGGTGGAGCCTAGGACTGAACAAAAACACGAATAAGGAATGGCAAATATTGAATACCCTAGGGGGAATTTAAATTTTTTTTCTGGTTGTTTCTCAGCATGGTACTGGTAAGTTGGTAGCTGTATAATGTTGCTGAAATATGAGACTTGAAACATAGGTGTGAAGGGTAGAGATGGATTTCAGGGTATATGGCTGGTGGCTGGAATTACAAAAAAGTGATTTTGGTATGAAATCTAGGAGTTGAGGAACAGCAGGCTTAAACACAAAATCCTCAAGGACATACCTATTGAGAGAGGGAAGAAAAGAGTAGAAGGCAGACGTGCTTATTGCAGGGGCTGTAGGAGAGATGAGAGGAGAAGCAGGAGGAGCACAGTGTACTGCAGACAAGGCCGGAGGGTGTCGAGAGGGTTCAGCTTGATAATTAGAACAAGGCACAGGAGGGACAAACCAGTTAACTGAAAACTGGGCTGTTTTCTTTCTTTTCTTTTGTTTTTAATTATCAAAACGGCAGTGTCTTTTCTATGACATTTTTATTATAAAATTAGGATGTAGTACATATTTTAAAAATTGATAGAGCTCGCTCTCTGTTAAGACCGTACCCAGTTCCTCCCAATAGCACATAAAAACGCCTCTGCTCCGAACCCACACCACTGTAGGCGTTATCAGCATTCTGCCTGGTGATTTCTAATTGGTCAAGAAACTTCTTATTTAATTTGGATTCTTTTAGCAGTGAAGTAGAGTATCTTTTATTACCGGCCATTTATTTTTTCTTATTTATGAAAAGCCTATCATCTGCATATTTTTTTCTTTTGG